TTGCAAGAAAGTTACATGAACTGACACAAATTGTTGGGCTTTATGTACCCACGTAACAGATTTCCCTACAGCATAGATTACTTGAAAGCATCACACCTGGCTTTCCCTTTTCACGTGGTTGCCATATGGAAGGTCGACAGTTTTGCAGATGCTTTACTTATTTTCATGGAACTCAGTAGACTATGCCCAAACTACTGAAAAAATAATCTTTTACCATACAGTGAGAGCTGGTATCAGCACTTCTGTTGTTTTAGCACAGTGTATGTTTGTTCTCTAAGATTAAATCCTGTTTTATACAGATAATGAGTGTTCCCTAGGAACTGAAGGCCAAAGAGATCCTCACTGTTATCTACTCCAGGTACAGTGTTACATTTCTTTCCTGATCTTGACTTCTAATGCAAAACCACAGTAGCACATTCTGGAAGTCTCCACAAAAACAGGGGGCATGGAGGGGGAAGAATAAAATTAATAAATAAATAAACCTGCACTGTTCATTTTCTTTCTCTTTGGGAATAAAAACAAGAGAACAAATAAATACAGAACAGATGTTAGTCACACTACTTAATATGCTACAAGAAGGCACTTTGATGTTTCAGTAATTGCAGACAGAGCTGAATCTGAATGGAATGAAGCAGACATTCAGGAGAATTGTTGGGCTCCCACAGAAATAAACTTGTGATATAGACAGAAATATTAGGCAAAGTTGTTTTGCAAACCACATCTTAATTATTAAAATTATTTTAATACTCTGTTCACAATCCAGAACTTTTGTAATCTCTGGGTTTTTCTCTACCAGGACTATAATTATGTTTACTTGTAAATATAATGTAAAAACTTACTAAAGCCTCTCACAGATTGAGCCAGCGATAGTCTTTTACCATGCAGTATATCCACATGATAGGTTACAAGAATGTATCAGGTGCTAACTTGAACCAGTTGGGAAAAGGCAACCTTTTCTTTATTGAAGCTAGTAGATTATGAAGTTATTCATCTTGTCCGTAGTGTCCTTTCTTGCCTTTAAGTCTCAGAAAAATGTAAATCACAAGCTTTTGAGTTATAGTTCCTGATGATTCATAAGATAATCTTGCAAACACAGCAGGGAAATATATGATTTGCAAATTGCTTAAATGACATCTTTGCTATTACCTTAAATTATTGTTGCAGTAAATCCTATTTTACAATATTTCAGCTTGATAATATTGTAAAACTCTACATTTCTCAAGATAAATACTCTACTTGTCATTTGCGTACTTAATTTTTTTTAAAACTTTGTGCTTACTTAAGGACTGAATGTTTTATCTCAAAACGACCTAAGATTCATTTCTTTATGCCAGCATCTGTGTGTATTTAAACTAATTCTAAATCCTTAACTAATACCATTTTTTATCCCGAATTATACTAGGATTTGCCTGAAAATTAACATTTCCAAATTGCTAAAGATTTCAGGTTCAGAATAACTTTAGATTAAGCATAATGTTTGCCTAGGTTTCTTAAGAGTATTAAGTTCCCCTCCAATTCCTAAAATCAAATAACAATTTATTAACTATTTCAGCCTTTTGTGATGTATTGTGAAGTAACATTTTTTCTTTTGTACAGAAAGTACTGAAGAGATGCAATTAATAATTCCCATGCTATATTTAGCTTGGCAAAAATGCAGTCTAACTTCATGAACAGATAGCTCCATTTTCTACGTCAAGTGTATTATACTTGTGAGGAACTGAGGTTGTAAAAGGCTGAAACTGACCTTAGGCACCTCTGGATCTGCCAAGACAGTCACTTTCAAGTAATTATTACTTATTGTTGGTAGCATTGTTTGGTAGCATTGGTTGGTAGCATTTTATGTCTAGAAAACCATCAGATAGGGTAGTGCCAGTAAGAGTTCTTGTAAGATCAGAATGTCCTTTCAATCTACAAAAACTGAATAATGTCTTTCAAATAACAGGATTTTTAGTTTTTTTAAGGATTTTAGCAATTTATATATTTGGTACATATAATGCATATATTTTGTGATATATTTAATATGGTATGTTCATTTTTGTTTGGTTTTTTTTTCTGTTTTTTATTATCATTTATCTCAGTATCATACCTCAAGCATTATTCACCCCACGATACTCAGCAAGTGCCTACATATCTGGAGGCACCATTTTATACCGCCCTTTGTGTCCCTTGAATTAGAAAATTTTCTGCGGAGACATGTCAGTATAAAAGGAATTATTATTTCCAAGTTAAAAATTGCAAAAAAACCTAAAAATGTTTGCTTTTATTCTGAAGGTTGTTTATTTGTTTTTGTTTGGTTTTTTGTTTTTTGTGAAAATAGAATTATTATTTGAATACTGCTTTTTAAAAGCAATTAACCATCTATTCAGTTAATTTTGGGAAATAAAACCCTCAGACCTTGCAATCTTTATGAGCTATACATTAGTTTTGAAGTTGCAAATCGTATATACTATCATTATTCATTAATGAGTTCTGTATATAAAAACTTCCAATGGGATCCCAAACTGGGAATAAAATTCACACACTGTATTGAAACAGCCCCTCAACACTCTAGATATAAGATACAGATATCTTAGGTTACTGAATTACTTTCTAGAAGGCAATCACAAAAAAAAATTAAGATGGAATAAACCCTCATGTAACCATATGAAACTATGAAAGGTTAACTGTCTCTTCCTTTACATATTTCCTCTTCTTTGGCATAAGAAAAATAAATAAAACTTAAACAATTGTCAGAAAAAAGTCCCCTGAATTGTTTCTAGTGAGATATCTTTGTGAAATATATAAATGTAAAGGAAATTTTTGTTCAAATTAAAAAATAATATAGTTTGCTTTGTATGATTTTTTTTATGTAAAGATTTCCAAGGAGGTTTGTTATTAACCCAAACCCCAAAGACAAACATTCTGCGGTTGAAAAGCTATCTTACATCCACTTTTGAAAAAGAGACTGCTGATATAGAAATCTCCTTTTGCACGGGCAAGATGCCTCTCTTCTCCAGACACACCTGGGGAGCTACTTTAGCAATGCATTGACTGAAATTCAGGACTTCCAGGACTACTCAACAGGGAAAATGCTTTGCTCCCCTGAAAGAGTCCTCTTACATGAAGTCAGCTTTCTGGGCACAGGTGGTGGGAAAAGGGTCCATGTTTTTACTCTAGAAGTTAAATAATATAAACAGAATAACTTACTCTTTCTACCACTGTTTTAACACTGTTGCAAGGGATCAGTTTCAGAGACCTATAATTTAAGCAATATAGTTATGGAAAGACATGAAATGTATTGAAGCTGATGGTTGTAAAAGAGCAAACTTGAAATCCCATATTGTGAACCCATTCTCATCCAGTAACTAGGTGGGAGAAAGGTATTTTAACAAAAGGAAAATAAGGGGTTTCTGGGGTCCTATCCATTACGACCCTGTTTAAGGTATCATACTTATTTTACTGAACCTATTTGTTCTTCCTGTACTTTTCTGAATTTTCTGTATTTAACACGGCACAAAATTGATCTTTCCGTTAAAATTTTAAACTTGATTAAAATCTGTGGAGGAAGATTGTTCTCATAGAATCTCCCATGTGAAAAGGAAGGTTAAAGGGTCATGACTAGACATTGCCAACTAATATATATAAATAAAATTATTGAAAAGGCCAGGAAAATTCTTTTCATTGAGCCATTGATATAAATATTTGGAATGTAGCAATGGCACCTCTAACCATAGCTAAAATGGTTATCAGTACAAGTTTTACCATTTTAACTGTATTTTTGTGAATGTTCCAGACAAGATTTATGTTCTTATATCCTCCCTAGTTAGCATTATGTCTGTAACTTTATGTGAAATTCATGTCTGACAAAGTAGGGTTCTTTGATAGTCTGTACTGTACTACAAATGAAATTGAAAAGATGGAGTGAGGGGCAATGTATCCTACATGATTTCAATACAAATAAATATTTCCAGAAAACAGGAACCTGTGGGAGGAGGGGAAGCTTCTCCTTCCCCTTCCCCTTCACTTTCCTTTTCCCTCCCCCTTCCCATTCCTCTTCTACTCCCCTTCCTCTTCTCCTTCCCCTTCCTTCTTCCTTCATCACTTTCCTTGTCTTTCCTCATCATTTCACAGTTTTCTGGTTTAAACTTGTGTTGAAGCACTAATATGGTTTACTCATCTGCAACTGTCCTGTGTATATGTGAAGGTTAAAATGAATTCTGTGTACTTTAGCTGTCTGATGTAAAGTTATAAATCTTGGTTAAATTGGGTTTGCAAAGTGTATGAGACATTGTTTGAGATCCTGGAGATGAAGGCACCCTAGATATGCAAAAAACTGCATAACTATCACTATTCAGCTCTGGCTGAACTCTGATGACCATATTCTTAGAGGGATGTTTTGAGAACACACGTCTACTGTTCCTAATTCCACTGTTGGTTATTTTGTGTTATGATTCCAATAGATAGAGATGTCATGTCATTTAGTCTGTGTTTAGACAGCATGTCACTAAACTCCCAGTAGACACAGAGGCTTAGCAGTAAACTCCCAGTAACCACAACTTAGCATCCATTCTTATTTGCATATGTTATAAAAGGCAAGTTTTGTTGAATTGAACAGTGACAGAAAACTGATAAAAATCTTACAGACTAGGAATTAGATTCACCCATAAAATGTTTCTACCGGGATTATATCAGCTTTTCAGTCATCCTGAATTCTTCTGTACTAAGACACTACGGTATTCAAAACTTTTCCAGTGATCTGAGTAATCAGTTTTCAAATATGTCTACCATTATTGGCCAGAATTCAGAAATTCTTATTATCTTACTTATCAGTTATGTCCACGTTGTTACCTTCAAGAAGGTAACAAAATGAGGGAGCCGATGGAAGATAGAGTGTTTTATAGGGTATAAGCATCTGGGTAGTTTGAATATTGTCATGGTATGCCAGCCAGACCTAGGAAATGTTGTGGGAAAAATGTTAGATTTACTCTAGAAAATATCACTCCAAAATGGGCTTTAGCTCATGTAGGGTGAAGGGTATAGCCAGTAAATAGTGGGAATCAATGTGTAAAGCCAGTTAGAATGGCGAACACTGCTCCTATGGATAATATATATTGGAAGTGTGCAACTACGTAGTATCGTGTAAAGCGATATCTAGGGAGGAGTTAGCTAGAATGATCCCTGTTAATTATCTGATGGTGAAAAGGAGGATAAAGCCTAGAACTCATGGTATAGGTGGGTCTCATTTAATTGTCCCTCCATGTAGGGTGGCTAGTCAGCTGAAGACTTTAATGCCAGTGGGGATTGCAATAGTTGCGGTGGCGGATGTAAAGTAGGTTCGGGTGTCTACGTCTACTCCAACTGTGAATATGTGATGAGCACATACGATGAAGCCTAAAAAGCCAATGGATGGCATGGCTCAGACTATGCCTATGTAGCTGAAGGGTTCTTTTTTGCCAGCATAGTAGGCTATGACATGAGAAATTATTCCAAATCCTGGTAGGATAAGGATGTAAACTTCTGGGTGTCCGAAGAATCAAAATAAGTGTTGATATAAAATTGGGTCTCCGCCTCCTGCAGGGTCGAAGAATGTAGTGTTCAGATTTCGATCTGTCAGAAGTATTGTGATGCCAGCAGCAAGAACTGGTAGGGAGAGGAGAATTAGGACTGCGGTAATTAAGACATATCAAACGAATCAGGGGGTTTGATATTGTGCTATGGTGGTTTCATATCTTCTAAAATTCTTCACTGAACTGAAGTCCACTGTGAAATATAATTGCAAACAATTGAAGCTTCTTCTGGTGAAGAAATACTCTAAGCTGGGAAAAAACAATGTAACACTACATTTCTCAAGCAGCAAGGCAAATTTCTGTCAGTCAAGGTAGTTGAGTTTTACAGGAAGTATCAGGCAGGGTTGTTCTGCAGCGGAAGCAGAGCCAAGGGCAAGTACAACACAGGGCAAGGCAGGTCACGGCAGGAAGTGAATCTGATCAGTGAAGTACCCCTTCAAGGGAACAGGATGACCAGGTCAGGGCCAGCCAGGATTCTTATTGTAACCAAGTGGTCAAGCCAGGGGCGTGGGTCACGACCTGGATCAGCACAACATGTCACAAGGCTCTGGTGCAGGTGCAAGGGCTCCTGCACAAGGTAAGGAAGTGGGGGCATTATTCATAGCTGTTTCTCACAGTTTTAACCCAGGTCCAGGCAGCCTTGTCATGTCAAGGATGACCTTGAGTACAGGTAGTAAAACCCTTATGGCCCCTATGTCTGTATGTGCATGTACACTAAGGGAGATGCAGGATCCTGACAATAATTGTTAACTTTATTCCAGTAATGAATTAATCACATAATTGTCATTTTCACTGAGTAAGAATTAAAACTTGTTTCAAGGACAAGATTGACTTCCACCGTTTCTTGAGAATAAAATTGAGGATTTTATAGTCTTCTAAAACTGAACAAAATCTTGCAGTAGTATCAACTGGAGATCTACAGGGAAAGGGAGAAGGTAATTCTTGAAGTGATCTTGATATGTTTCACTGATATAGTAATGCACATTGAGTTTTGAGCCATGACAAGTACCTGCCTGTCCTTACACCACTGTTACAACTCATGATCTCTTTATCCCTCCTTCCCCTCCAGTCTTGCTGTTACTATCCATCTATTGTCTTTTTATCCATTCTTCTCCTGTAGTCCTCTCTGTCCTTTCCTTCTTTGGATTTCTTTCTTTTTGCCGGTCCTAAATTATAAATTTTAAAGTCATCATTCATACCACCTTTCTTCTTTCACCTTTACAATAGTTGAAGCTTTATAATTGTAATAATATTCCAGGGGAAAAAAGTAGTGGTGGAGAGTTCAGAGACCAGGATCTGCTGCTTGCAGATGGGTCTATCTTTGCACTGTGTTCACACTCAGTGAATATTAGGCAAACATGGTGTTGGAAACTGCAATGATAATGGTCAACTTCTACTAGAATTCTGTGCAGAGTAACAACTCACCATCACTAACACTATCTTTCAGCAGAAAGATAGTCTGAAGACAACCTGCATGCACCCCAGATCTAAACATTGGCACCTCATCGATTTTGTCTTGGTGCGATGGAGAGATGTCCGCGATGTCCACCATACCCATGTGAAGCCCAGCGCAGAATGCCAAACAGACCATCGGCTTGTGTGCTGTAAACTCAACTCCAATCTCAAATTCAAACCTAAAAGGGGCAGTATCCCAAGGAGAAGACTCCAAATTAACAATCTCCAATCAGCCACAGTAAGAGATAGATTCCAGGCAAACCTTCAAACTAGGCTTGAAAACCATTCCAGAGATTCTGTAGATTCCTCTCCTGAAACAATCTGGTAGCTTATTAAAACCAGCATCCTGCAATCCTCCGAAGAATCCTTAGGGTTCTCCCTCAAGAAGAACAAGGACTGGTTTGACGAAAACAATCAAGAAATCCAGGACTTGCTGAGGAAGAAGAGAACTGCCCACCAACCACACCTTGCACTGCCATCCCGTCATGCAAGGAATACAGCCTTTCGTCTCGCATGTAGCAAGCTCCAACAGAAACTCCGTGACATCCAGAACAAGTGGTGGATTGATCTAGCTGAAAAAACTCAACTATGAGCAGATACGGGTGATCACAAAGGATTCTATGAGGCCCTGAAAACAGCATACGGGCTTACATATCAGGTACAAAGCCCTCTACTCAACGCTGATGGTCAAACACTTCTAACAGATAAAACCTCCATTCTGAGTCGATGGTCTTTCAGACTCTTTTCAGTACCAACCGTGTAGTCCAAGACTCAGCAATTCAGTCCATCATGCAACAACCGGTAAAGTATGAATTGGATACTGCCCCCACTTTAGGGGAAACCCTCAAGGCCATACAGCAGGTGAAAATCGGCAAGGCAGCTGGGGTTGATGGAATTCCACCTGAAGTTTGGAAACATGGGGACCTTGCCCTCCATATCAAATTTCACGAGTTTGTGGTAAGCTGTTGGGAACTAGGTGAACTACCATCAGACCTTCGTGATGCAGTCATCATCACTTTGTATAAGAAGAAAGGTACTAAATCAGACTGATCAAACTATGGTATTACTCAGTTTTCCATTGCTGGCAAAATCCTGGTAAGAATACTCTTGAACAGACTAATACCCACTATAAGAGAAGAAATTCTGCCTGAAAGCCAGTGTGGTTTCAGAGCCAACAGGTGTACCACAGACATGGTGTTTGTTCTCAGACAACTGCAAGAGAAGTGTAGGGAACAGAACAAAGGTCTCTGTGTAACCTTTGTCGACCTCACCAAGGCTTTCGATACTGTGAGCAGAAAAGATCTGTGGTAGATTTTGGAACGTTTAGGTTGTCCCCTCAAGTTCCTTAAAATGATCATCTCACTCCATGAGGATCAGAACGGCCAAGTCAGATATGGTAACACACTTTCTGAGCCCTTTCTAATAAAGAATGGCATGAAACAAGGCTGTGTTCCTACCCTATTCACAGTCTTTTTCAGCATGATGCTCCAAAGGGCCATGGCAGACCTCGAGGATCAGGACGGTATCTACATTCGATGTCGTACTGATGGAAGCCTTTTCAACCTAAGGCAACTGAAGGTCCACACCAAGACCTTAAAGCATCTTGTCTGGGAGCTGCTTTGTGCTGATGACACCACCCTTGTTACCCACACAGAAGTAGCTCTGCAGCGTTTAACATCCTGCTTTGCAGATGCTGCTGAGCTCTTTGGACTGGAAGTCAGCTTAAAGAAGACAGAAGTTCTCCATCAACCTGCATCTCAGGAAGTCCCCCATCATCCCCACATCACCATTGGCCAATCAGAACTCAAATCAGTCCAGCCGTTTAATTACCTAGGTAGCCTCATCTCCTCAGATGGTAAGATTGACGGGGAGATAGACAACAGGTTAGCAAAGGCATATAGTGCTTTCAGGAAACTTCATAAAAGAGTATGGTGTAATAAACACTTGAAGAAAAGTATGAAGATCAGTGTTTACAGAGCCATTGTGCTGTCTACTCTCTTATATGGATCTGAATCATGGGTCATCTACCGCCACCACCTGCGACTCCTAGAACACTTCCATCAATGCTGCCTCCATACAATCCTAAACACCCACTGGTCTGATTATGTGACTAACACATCTGTTCTAGAATAAGCAGCAGTCACAAGTATTGAGGCCGTGTTGCTGAGAATACAGCTGCATTGGGCAGGGCATGTCTCCAGGATGAAGGACCACCACCTCCCTAAGATCCTGCTTTATGGTGAACTTGCCACTGGCTGCCACAAGAGAGGAGCCCCGAAGAAAAGATACAAGGACTCCCTGAAACAACATCTCAGCCTTGGCCATATTGATCACCATAACTGGTCTACTCTGGCTTCCAATCGGGAGGTCTGGAGACACACCATCTATACGCTGCTGATGCTTTTGAGAAAACATGCAGGATCACTCTTGAGGCAAAAAGACAACGCAGAAAGAATCGTGCCTTGCAGAATATACCATCTAAGGAGTCTTTTTGCTGTGCCTTTTGCAACTGGACATGCCTATCTTGTATTGACCTTTTTAACCACCAACGCGCTTGGAACAAATGTGGGTAGAGCCCTTCCCAAATCTTCGTTCGCAAGCCTAGCCATGATGTTCACACTCAGAATTTTCTTTGTTACTCTAGGGAATAAAAACAAAACAAAAACTACAAAACAAACAAAAAAAACCGAAACCAAAAACAACAACAACAGCAAAAAAAAGACAAACAAACAAAAACCAACCAAACAAAAACCCCAAAAAACAAAACCCCCCAAACAAACAAAGATAAACACACAAAAAACCAAACAACTCCTGAATCTCCATTTTTCTTCCACACCTTAGTTAACCTTGAATTCAGTTTGGACTTACATCACATCTTCAGTACTAACAGAAGTAGGTGAGTATATTCAGAACACTTTATACACATCAGTACTATGTCAAGGCTACTAGCTCACTACATTTTCTTCCTTCACCCAGCACTAGAATGAACACAGGGTTAGAGCTGGTGGGTAGGAGTGAAGTGGAATGACTCGGTCAAAGCAATGCTGTAAGTCTACATGCCTACATCCTTCATTGCAATGAACTTGTTTGCAGGTGTGAAAGAACTGTTTGGTTTAAAACCCATTTTCTTTACAAAGCACTTGTTTGTAAAGAGCTGCTTCTCTTTTTTTTGCATCACAGTGATAAGTCTTGTCCCTAGTAACATCACTCACTATACAGTCACCATCTTATATCCACCCCATCCATTAGAGGAAATCCTGCTGGATAAAAGAAATAAAGCTGTTCAAGGAATAGATTTACTGTATACGAGGGCAATGAATTAAGAAGTCTCCAAACTCTCTAGTGTATTCTATATTTCCTGGCCATTTAGCACATCTCTTAGAAAACAAACAAGAAAGATAACTTTCCTCACCTCAACTAGTAGAGTCAAATTGAATCTAAAATAAAAATAGGATGCATAAATTCTTTATGCTGATGCAACATCTCTGTTCTGAATTTTTTATCTTCTCTTTTCACTGTCTCCTAGCAAGAGAATGCTTCACTGAGAGTAGTTTACGATGTTGTGCTTTCCCTGAATTTTTGTGCATGTCAAAAGAAGTACTATGCTAAAATTCCAGAAATACAGGTTCAGTTCCAGACACTTTGATGGACTTCTTATGTGACCTAGTACAAAATGACATGATGATAGAT